ATTAGGATTTGAGTCTGGGTCGTATATGCCTAGCGTACTCTTGGTACGCCCAACATACCATCTTTCCCTTCGTGATCAATCATGCCCAGTAAACCCATCGTATGCCATATATGCCCAACGTACTAGGCTTACCCTAACTCTTTATAACTTTTAGCGATCACAACATCCGCATCCCTAATCTGTTTTTGGCGTTCTTTATATACTCAGAAAGGTAATGAGAAGCCCTACAATCTTATATAATCTCTTTCAAATTAAAATCATACAAACTTAAATCCTTAATTCCAGAAAGATCTGAAACATTACTTTTACCATTAAACGCTTGGACTCTAAAGTACAAACCGAAAGCTTGGCTCATACAATCCATGTAATCCATTCCCAAATGGGTCTAGAACCCAAAACCTTTGAATTCCAAGGCCCAAACTTGATCCATTAATTTCCATAGTTCCCGAAATTGGAAGCTTCTCGAAAACTGATGCTACACAGAACATACTATGTCAACATAAACAACAGATAAAGACATAACCAATCAACATGCAAATTAGGCAGATCTACAGATCACTACCATATAACAAAATCCTACAGAACAGGATACAGATCTAATATATCATCAAAGCATAACAATATTTTATATTACATGATACATAACCTAGTGGGACCGGTATTGGTGCCTTCGACCCACAGTACAGTAAGGAAAACTCACCTCTCAGTCTGGAATGAAAGCTAAACAGGACACTACTCCAAATATTACCTCTACAAGTCAGCTATACATCAATTAGAAACCAAAAAAACTAAAACTCAAAATATCTAAAATACCCTTAGGTCAAACTTGGTCAAATCCTGATCAAAGGCAAAAGTTAAAGAAGTCAACTGAGTCAACTCAGCTGAGTACACCCAACATACTCAGTTTGTATACACAGCATACTAGGGGCTTGACCAAAACGGGTTGTTGACCACATACTCTAGTGTACTCCCAACATACGTGCCACTAACTTCTCTTTCTATTAATAACTTAATCCTTCAAGCCCTTTCGTCGAAAATCCAGATCTAGTCTCAAACAACATCTTAACTCATAAAGTTTCCAACTTGATGACTTTGCATGGCTAGGAAGTGATCACCACTAAAAACCCTAATTGATTAACTCATTAAGACATTATAACCCATGAATGGAAGGAAACGAATGACCAATATTTATTTTTTATGACCTTAGAAACTCTAAAACGTCTGGAAGGACAATCCATTTGGGTCTAGAGCATGCCATACTCAAGAACATCATTAATTAGGAACAAAAGCACATAGTAACATCATACAAGCTAGATCTAACCAAATAAGCATCAAGGTATAGACTTTATACCTTTTGTAGATGTAGGAGGATGCAAAACTTTTAGATCCAAGGTTTCTCCAAACTTCCAATATATTCTCCTTTCCTTCTCCTTCCTCTATGAGCACTAAAACACTTTTTAATGGCTCAAGAATGCTCAAAAATGGATTAGGGTTAGCTAGGACTGAAGATGGAGGTAGAGGATGAAGAATAAAGAGGTATCAATGGGTTAGGGTTGTTCAAGTAGGGTCCAAACACTAAAAACTAGGGTTTGGGTCTCTGCCACGTATGCCCAGCATACGTGATCACATTCCAATTTTCACTTAAATGCCACATGGGACCAACTATGCAAATAGTTCTCATGATAAGGGTCAAAATTTTAGTACTTGGAATTTGAGTTGTTATACTTCATCATCGTAGACTCTTTAGATTGAAGTTATCTATAGAGTTTGTATAGAGAAAGTTTCTTGATCATGTTGTCTCCTTGAACTATCATTTTCACCATATTCCATTATTTACCTAAACCATTCAAGAACTGCAAGTTTGTTTCATGATCACTTCTAGTAATACGTGTGTTTGAGAGCTTGGTGACAATGAAGTTGAACCTTTTAAAAGAATCAACAAGACTTTCTCCACGAAGAGATTTAAAGCTACTGAAATCATTCAGGGTTATTGTTAGCTTGTTGTCTTGAGCTTGTTTAGTGCGTTCATAGAGATTCTTGAGACTTTGCAGATTTACAGTTGATGATGAGATCAAATTTGTTAGGAGGAGCACCATAAGAGATTTCATAAAAAAAACTATTTCATCTTTCTCCATTGTGTCTATATCACTGTTGGTAGGTCTAGACATAGCGGCCTCACCATATTCAAGTCCGAATTAAGCTCCATCAGTGGCAATAGGTGTGAGGATAGGTGCATATGGTCCTTCTTCTACAGATATTCATACTTCCTTACCAAGTCTTCTTAGATATATCTCCATTCTTTGAGAACAATGATAATACTCTGTAGTTGCAATAAAATCGAGATTGAATAACAAGATCAGAGTTAATTATGAGTGATGATCACAATATGTAAATATAATCTGTTTGGCTCAATATTAGCTTTCAACAAGTATAGAGAGAACATACAAGGTTACAAGAATATGCAAGGGAAAAGTTCTTCTCTAATCTAGTACCCTTCCCTATTTATAGGAAAGATGAAAGCGAACAATAAATAAAAGGGAATGGAAACACTATACTTCGTAGCATATGTTCCCTTGTAATAACATTACAAACTAACAAAACTTTACAATGACATTCGACACCTCACAACTAATTTCGACATCTACATTCTCCCCCTTTGTGAGTAGTAACGAATCAATTCATTAAAACTTTCGTAGCTTGATGTATTATCCTTCGGATCTTAGCATACCAGGTTGCAATTTTATGAATCTCTACCTTCTCTTTCTCATTATTTTTGTCACGGATATTCATCCGGACTAAGAGATTAGCATAATGTGATGATGTATATCTTTCAACATCACATACTAGAAACAAGAATTTCGAATTATTACCCTTCTTGTTTTTGCCCACAAAAGCAATTTCTGTAGGTTTCAAAGTGATCTCTCCATCTTCAAGCTTGTTTATATTCGCCTTGGTCATCATCATGGTTTGAGGAATTTCTACTTCTTTTCCGAAAACTTTAGCCAAATCAACTTCAGTCAAGGCTAATAACCCAAAATATCCTTCGATAAAAACCTTCAAGTGACCAAACCATTCAAAAAATCTTCCTTGTTCATCACTTGAAGTTTCAAAATATCTACACTCTTCATAATCAATGCCACCACCAAAAGATCATGAAGATTCATCAACGGCAAATCGGCCACTGAAATGTCGAATGCAACATTATTTGCTCGAACAACATGAAACCTATAGTTCTGTAACATGCCTTCGAAAAAAATGTCCTTTGTAATGCTAAGAACACTTGTTATCTTGACTAATGAATAAAATTCCTCCTCATCCTTTCCCAGAACCGCATGAAAATGAAACTTCATGCGCCTGCACTCAGATTGATTCTTATACTTTTCAGCAACTTCGAATTGTTCTTCCAAATACATCATTCTATTCAAAGGAAAGTCCAGCTAATTCATTGGTGAGTTGATAGTGTTAAAGCTTCTCCTTGGTACCTTTTCAAATTCATGCATCTCCCCAGATACTATCAAAGCTAAAATATATTCATAATGATATAGCTTTTTTGGATCACCTTTGTCAAGAACAGGAGGATCATTTGCACGTTGTTGAAGTATACTCTGGATTTGTCTTTGTTTCTCCATCTCAGCTTCCAGAGCAGCTTGCCTTTCTTCTTTCAACAATTCTTGACTTATGCCTTTTCCTTTGTCTTTCTCATGTTCACTTTGATTAGTCTTTGATGAACAAGACTCTCCTCCAGCAGTTCCAATAAAAATTCCCTTTGTGATAGGCCTTGTAGTTATTGTTGTTGATGAAGAAACAGTTGAAGTTTTTGGTAGAGAAGTTGGAATTTGAGTAGTCAGGATTCTTCCAACCACCCACGCATCACCTATAACACCTCCAGAACCCCCTTCACCTTTATTCGCACCACCAACATTTCGTCTTTCTACCCCTTGCACCCCTGTGTTCACAGGTGGGGCATTTGTTGGGATAAAATTTACAAATTTCTCAAGTAGAGCCAATTCTTTTTGAATTTTTGACTCTAACATGCGAAACTTTTCAGTGAACGATTCGGGAGAAACTACTGAAGACTTTGAAAAATCATACTTCAACACAAGATCCTTTAACTCTTTTAGTAAGGTTTCAACACTCCCAAAACTACTAGCATTAACCTCTATTTTCTAATCAAGTTTCACCCCCAAGGAAGTATAAAGCTCAAATGCTTTAGCCACAACACCAACAATTATATCTACCTTATTGTGAAGAGTAGAACAATTGTGATCTAAATCAGCTATCTCCTTCGTCATTTTCTCTCTTAATTCTTGAACTTTGATATTGACATTCTCACGAACTATCTTCACATCTTGAACAGACAAAATATGACGAGACTTGGCAGTTCTTTCTCTTCACGAATTTCATTTAAAAGAATCAAGTTGAGATTTAATCCTTAAATCAACAGACTCTTCCATTTGATTAAGCTTATCCAAAATCCGATGCTCTTGGGCTTGCAACATAACATCTACATCAAGAGAAGATACTGTATTCTCACCACCGCAATCATCTTGTAATTGAAGTAAGAAATTCAACTTCCTGTTCAAGATCTTAAATTGCTTTCCTGACATCAACATATGATTAGGAATGTTTTCTTCCTCATAATTGAATTGAATCTCAACAAAAGAACCCATAAAACCACCATCATCCATATCATCATCATTAACATGTTGTGGTTCTTTAGGTGATTGGGAAAGAAACAAAGAGGTGATAGGTTGTTGGATAATACTGTCAAAAGTAGGAGAATGAGAAACCAAAAGATTTTGAGAGGTATTAGAAACAATTTATGGAGGTAATGAAACAGTGGTGTCAAGAGAAAAAATAGGAAGTGATGAAGATATAACGAAATTTGTAGTAGTACCTTGAGCTTCGTTATGTAAACCTCCTTCACCCATATTAACATTTACATCCGTATTAGATATGTTTGCATTGATGTTTGAGGTTCGTACCTCCTCATTAAATGACTAAGTATTCGAAACTTTGGGTGGTATGACCGTTGTTTGCTCAGGAGTTGATTGCTTTGATTGTTCACCGTGATTGATGGTTGTGTACACTGTATAAGTTTCCACATTGCCACCAAGATTCCCAGTCTCCTCGAAATTTGATTGAACTGGAGAATCCCTCACCGAAGAAGAATGAACCATATGTTCAATAACTGGCATTTCAGGCACCACATCTTCATCAGCTGAGTTGTCATGCAACACTAACTTCCTCTGCTTCTTGCGCTTCTTTTGTTTCTTTGAAATATGATTGGCCATGTCTTTATCACGCCTCTTCTTTGATTGTAGAGAAACTGGTGTTGGAATTTCATGAGAAACTGCCCCCCTTCGAGTCACATGTTGTTTGTATTGAAGAGTTGGAGAAGGAGTTTGAGTCATTTTCTTCAATTTCTTAAGAACACCAGATTTCGTAGCAACAACTTCCTTCTCTCGAACAACACATTCTTCTTCATGAACAACAGGTTCTGTATAATAAGCAGTGGATCCTTTTTCTTTGAAACATGATCACCCTTAGACCTTTTCTTCGAAATTTTTTTGCAATAACATGAGGAGCACTCTCCTGAAATTTCTTCTTGGAACCTCTCCTCTTTTTCGAAGAACCTTCTCTTGATACATCCAACAACTTCCTAGTCTTGATAGACGGATTAATCGTTGTCAAGTATTCGACAAGAATTGGATTTGTAGAATCGACATGTTGAAGCATTGCATCAAGAATACGAGCAACATTGGAAAAACAATAACATCATCTTCCATCGTCTTTGGAAAGTTATAAGTGGCAAACTCAACCAATTTGTCACTTTCTGAAACCATAATCCCTTCTTTCTCATAGACATACTGTAAGATTAAGCTCCAGTATCGAGCACACGAAATCCCATCAACTACATTCGTGTTTTAAATGCTTTTAAGAAATTCCTTCCTTAGCTGAGTAACAAAATCCACTTGTTTATCATAATAGATACTACCAACCAAAGCATATACTTCTAATTTTCCTTTGTCTAACCCAACAGTTCTTCCCATTAAACAACGACGATATATACCAAACATAAAGTTCCATACACATGGTAGTCCATACTTCTTGAAATCACTAATCTTTTCAAGAACAGGTTGATGTCTCATCTCATTAAACATATGAATGATTTGGGCATTGTTGACCTTAGAAAAAGGTTCAACATTTGGAATTTTCAGAATTTGAGCAAAGAGTTTCTTGGTTAACCTGAATTTCTTGTCGTTGACCAGTTGAAAAGTAACAATTTGAATCGTCTTGTTGTATGTTACAGTAGAAGCAGCAAGTGATAACCAAGACTAAGGAACAGCAAAAGCACCAAACATTGTAGTTGATAATATAGAATGCTTAAGTGCAAGAACTAGCATCCGTAATCCCTCTACATAAGCATCAACATCACCAAGAACTTGATAATTGGTGCTCTTGATCTTCATGAGTGGATTAGAGGAAATATCTTCAGTTGTTTGAGATTGATTGACCGCTATTGTTTGGGTTTTGAAGATCTTGAAGGAATTAGAGAGAAAAAGAAATAAATTTCTTGTGAATGGTAAGTATACGTAAAAGTGGAATTGATCCTCCAAATCTCTTGTTATAGGTGATTGGAAATATGAATTTGAAGCAGTTTCGCATTAAATGTGGCTGACGTGGATCCTTGAAAACTGCACCAGTTACCAGAAAAGTAGGCATGCGTGAACAATAGATCATCACTTTTTCGTTGAAACCTGGAATGGAACACCAAACATCACTTCACACAGGCTGTTCACTTTCCCCAATAGAATGAAAACCATTACTAACCTTTGCTTGGAGGTTAGGCTCTTTCGCTTTTGGGTTGGAGAAGCAAAGTCATATGTCAGTCTTGCGAAATCATCAGCCTGAGTTGGTATAACTCAGAACCTTAAGGATTTTGTGAGTGCAATGTGTGTCAAAGAAAAAGATAAGAAGTAAGATAAAAAAAAAATTCGTTCTGTGATGTAAAAAATATTTCGACACAAATGTAGTAAGATCCTTGTCAAATATCACTTTGTTATTCATCAAGAGAGATGACTAATAGCTTGTGTGGTTGCCTGTGAATTAGAATCGAATACTTATATAGAAGTATCGAAGGTCTTCTTTTATCAAGTTTCAAAGGTGGTTAAATATTTCGTTACAAAGCACATCTAAACATAAGAGTGACAAGTTGTAAACGAAATTACCTGTATGACCAGTGTAGTTAGTGACAAGTAGGCTTTGGAAAATTTATTAAGTAACGAAGGTTGAGAATGACACTCATATGGAAATCATATTCTTTAACCAAAATAATTCCTCAATCTTGTTGGGTAACAAAAGTCGTGGGTTTCGATCATTTGATCAAAATAACTACAAAAGAAAGAATATGATTTTGAGTATCGAAAATTCGCTACTGAAACAATAGTTTCATTAAAATCAAGAACAAAGTTCCCCGTCAATTCCTTATGTTTCGAGAGTTTAGGTTTCACTTCCATCACGGTCTCATGATGTTGGATCATATACACAGAGTTTTGATATGTCTAGGTCCTGATTGGTTTATACCAAAAATCTCTTGGACATATGTCATAGTGTGTGATCGTGAAGGAACTTTAGGATGAAAAAGGTTTGGTTTAAGAAAATAAAGTACCTCCGCTATGTTTGGACCAAGCAGTTAAGTCTTAACTCATATGAGAAGAGTAAGGTAGCTCAAAGACTAATATGAATACAACCTAATTGAGTAGGGATTTTTGTGATGAAATATCCATTAAGGCTTTTGAACACATATAGAGTCATCGAGACTTTGGTCAACATGCTGCAGCATGCTTCTAGGGACATCTTAACTAATGCATAGTTTTGAAAATGTACATTCCCTAGAAAGCAACATCAAGCTACAAGCGTCAAAAATCTTTGTGAATACCTGTATACGAAGACAAAAATAAAATAACATAAAAAATATTTTTAGATATTTGATTTTAGAAAGAAAAGATCAAAAAAAAAAAAAAAAAAAAAAAAAAAAAAAAAAAAAAAAACTTTTTGTTGTTTTTGATAAGGAAAAAAAACAAAAAAAAATCTTTTTGTTGTTTTTGATTTTTATCAATGAGAAAAAAATGCAAAACAAACGAAAATAAAAGTAATAAAATGAACGAAATTTTTTGTAAAACCAATGTGCACAATTTTCGAAAACAAAGTATGTCGAAGCGTTGACCATGAACAGTAACAGCCATATCGATAATTTTCAACCTTTTTGACTTTTTTATTCTAACGAAATGTGTCCAGGAACATAATTTGCATGCAACATTCCTAAGCTATGCATGATCCTTATGAAAGATTTCTCATCCAAATGTTTTGTAAAGATATCAGCAAGTTGATCAGTTGTCTTTACAAAGTGTACTTCTATATTTCCATCTTCAACATGATCCTTTATGAAATTATAATGAAGAGCTATGCGTTTAGTTTTCGAATGTTGCACAGGGTTGTGACAAATGCGTATGGTACTTTGTGAATCACAATACAATATAGTTTTCTTCATGTTGATTGCATAATCATGCAGTTGACTTTGAATTCATATTATTTGAAAAGTGCAAGCTGCAACAGCCACATATTCTGCTTCTGTTGTGGAAATCGAAACACAAGTTTGTTTCTTCGATTGCCAACTCACAAGCTTCCCATCCAGTAATTGACATCCGCCACTTGTGCTTTTGCGATCAAGATTACAACCTCGCAAGTTAGCATCTGAAAATACTTGAATAAAGACCCTTGTTTTTGAAGGATACCATGATCCTAACAAAGTTGTTCCTTTAAAATAACGAAAAATATTCTTGACTGCAGTAAGATGTGGTTCCCTGGGGTTTGATTGGTACCTAGAACAATTGCACATAGAAAACATGATATCAAGGTCGACTTTTCGTAAGGTAAAGTAACGAACCTATCATGCTTCGATACAAAGTGATAGCCAGAGCTGCTTTATCTAACGAATGACTCAGTTTCGTTCCAACTGCCATTGGTACTCTAAGCTTTGTGTTATTCGTCATGCCAAACTTTTCAAGCAGATTTCAGGTATACTTATCTTGATTAATGAATATTCCTTCTCTGCTTTGACAGATATTCAATCCCAGAAAGTTGTTCATTTTTCCTATCATGCTCATTTCAATTTGACTTTTAAGAAAATTTCCAAATTCTCTTGACAAAGAAAAGTCAGTAGAGCAAAAAATAATATCATCAACATAAATTTGACACAAGAATTAGATGATTCCCAACTTTCTTTCAAAAAAGAGTGGGATCAATTGATCATTGTTTAAATTTCGATCAATTTAAGAAATTAGTAAGAGTAGCATACTAGGCTCGGGGTGCTTGTTTTAACCCATAAACAGCTTTATCTAAGATATAGCAATGATAATGATATTCTTCGTTATTAAAACCTGGGGGTTGTTCAACATACACAGTCTCCGCAAGTTCATCATTGAGAAATGCACACTTTACATCCATCCGGTAGACATTAAAATCATTGTGTGATGTATAGGCTAAAAATATTCAAACAACCTCGAGTCTTGCGACAGGGGCGAAGGTTTCCTCATCGTCTATACCTTCTTGTTGTGAATAACCTTTAACTTCAAGCCCAGCTTTATTCCGTACAATAGTACCATCTTTATCAGTTTTGTTTTTAAAGATCCATTTTAATCCCACAATTGAAACATCATTTGGTTTGGGAATTAATCTCCATACCTTGTTTCATTTAAATTCAACAAGTTCAGATTGCATAGAAACAACCCAATCAGGATGTTCCATAGCATCTTTGACTGATTTAAGTTCAATTTTCGAAATAAAAACATCGAGCATGCAAAATTCTTTATTTACATTAAGTATCTCATTCTTTGCACGTAATTGAGCTCTTGTAAGCACTCCTTCATGTGGATCACCTAAAACATGTTCCTGTCGGATGACTTTTAATCCATTTATCCATTAGAGGATATGCATGATCAAAGTCCAATGATGCATCTTCGAACATTTCTTCATTTTCTGAACCTTCACCTGCATTCAAAAAATTATCATTAATATCATGAAAAACATCAGTTTGATCATTCAAAACATTTGTATCATTTCCAACTTGCTCCCCCTCAACAATTGGATTTATATTTTGATGCTCCCCCTCAACGTCAACATTCATTATTTTTTTTTTTCTCTCTCTCTCTTCCCCCCCCCCCCCCTCGAAAGTATGCTCTCCCTCAACTTGAACATTCGTCATTTCTAGCAGACTTTAATTATTTGTAAAAGAATTGTTTGATGACAACAAGTCATTGTTATCCTATGTAAGAATGGAATCATCTGACATTTCGATGCTTCAGGCACACGATTATCATCAGGATTAACTTTGGCATCAATGGCACGATCT